TTTTATAATTTGAATAGTACCACATGAGTTTAACCAATGCAATTAGATTTAGATTTTTTGAGTAAATCGTTGATGAATATGTTCCTAGTAAGATTTATTCAAGATAAAAATAATCTCTCATTGTTTCTTTTTGATGAAACGTATATTAAAGTTAATAAAAGTTTATTATCCTTTCCATATAAAAATCTTATCTTAGTATAAAGCTGCCATAAACATTAAAACTCTTCATTAACTATAAATACTCTATCATTTATAGTTATACAGTCGTTTATTGTAATAAAATGCATTATTCATCTATTATTATTATTATAGGTTTTGTATTTTTGGGAACGATTATTCAAATTAACTGTCTTCAATGTTATAAATGTAGTTGTTCTGTTAATGTTGGTGAAACAACATGCAAAGATGATAGTGAATTACAATGTGTAATCGAATATGTTGAAAATAATTATTGTACGATTGCACGAACATCATCAAACAGTATTACATTTGATCATAGACCAAATTCTGATCTGATATTTTTGGAATCACAACATTATTTACGAGCTAAAGAACAAATTGTCTATTTAGAAAGTAGTTCAAGTTGGCACGCACCTATTGTAAAAGAATTTACTTATGGTTGTGATTGGAATTTATGCAATACACCTCGTATTCTTAGTCTCCTTCCAAAAGGTCTTACATTTACTGTTGATTCAAATTTATTAACAAATTCATTGATTCTTCAACCAAATGAAACGTTCACAACATGTGCATCATGTACAAAATGTGTAAATTCAACTACAGCAATAACATGTGCAACAGTACCATGTAGTGGTACGTGTGAAATTGATGATCATTTGGATGATCCAGTGCAACATAATAGTTCATGTTCATTTCAATTTACTAGTGCATGTTTAAATGAAAAACTTAATACATCCATTGAAATAACAGGAACATATTATATGGATGATAAGAAATTTCAAACAGGTGAAATAGATATTTGGTGTAAAAAAAACAATTGTAATGATCCACCTCATGTTCAAACTATACAAAGAAATATTACTTTTATAACAGAAATAAATGATCAACTTTATTTTCGGCCACAAGCAACAACATCAAAACCAAATACTGGTCTATTGGGTTGTTATACATGTCATTGTGATCGTGCAGTCGGTAGTGATGATTGTAAAATATTAGAATGTACAATTGAATATCAAGATAAAAGTTATTGTGAAATAGTACGCAATTTTAAAGAAATTCCTGGTAAGGAATTCATTCAGCTTGGTCATGTAGAACAAACGAATTTACCATATAGACATTTTATTCATGCAGAAGAAGAACTTATACTTTATACAAACTTAACATGGCATCCACCATCAGTCAATTTTATTAGTTATATATGTGATTGGGAATTATGTAATGATGGTCGTCTCGTTGACAAATTAATAACAAGTTTTCAATTTAATGCTGAACCATTAGAAATAGCTGCATATCTTCAAAGTCCTGAACCACTTACTTATTGTGCTGAATGTGAAGTTTGTAGTAATTTTAGTCTTTTTGATCAATGCAAGAATGCTTCTTGTTCATCTGCTGGACGTTGCTATATTGATCAATATATTAAGCATCCAGATTATAGCAGTTGTGTATATGCATTCAAAGCTGAATGTGAAAATTTTGCAACTGAATCAAGTATTATACTTACAGCTACTTATAATATTGACGATGATATATTAGATTATGAAGAAGTAAATGTTTATTGTTCAAAGAATGGCTGTAATCAACCTTCAACAGTATACAGTTTACTTGATCTCATACATGAAGATATTCAACTCGATTCATTATTTTTTATTCGTCCAATTACGAATACTACAGCATCACCAATTATTACAGAACCAACACCATCATCAAGTCCCATTATGGCTATGACCCGTTCAGCAGCCATTATTATTTTTCTAATAAGACTATGTATTTCACTTTTTATCATTAACTAAAAACATTGTATATGATAAAATCCAACATTTTTAAAAATAATTAATCATGATACAGTATAGATAGTTTTATTTAGCCATTTTAAAATAAAAGAATTTATAACATTTTTAATCAATCAACATAAAATAATAGTTTATGACTATACTATCAGACAAAAGTACTTTTAACATTTTACAACATATTCATATATACAAGACATCATAAATTTCATACATTCTTTCAACAAAAATAATCAATAAGTATTTTTTAGCTGAAGATAACAGAAACATGTTTATGATTTATAGGTTGTTCATACTAAAAGGATGTATTAAGTTACTCTCGCTAAATATGAGATGAACTGTAACTGTTCTCGTGAATATAATCAGTTAGAGTGATCTCATTACATTATGCCATACTTTAAACCTGTTAAGATATTTTATATGTTGTTTCCTTGATAAGGAGTACACCCTAAAGTTTTAATCAATATTAAGATGAACATATATGGTGATAAGAATATGTAAATCAACAATAATTCGGAAATGAAGACAAATCTTCTTGCATTCAGAAATTTTAATTAATATTCTAAAAATATATATTTTTCAGTTTATATCATCGATTCGATTTTACTATTTATATGTATGCATGTAAAAATAATATTATCATTTCTCTTTCAAATCAAAATTCGTAGTTTATTAGTCAACAACGGATGCATATATGAATAATAGATGATATATTTAATGATTATGAATACTATACTATCTATTAATAGACATAGTTTTCTCTATATTCTATTCTGACCATTGAATTTTGATGCAAAATATTCTTATTGATTAATCTAAACAAACTTTCTTTTTTCCTTTTTCTTCTCTTTTTCTTTCTATTCAAAATATAGATGGATATGTAACATTAACATATTATATATTAGAACGTCGTTTTCCATTAGATTCCAGAGGGAATCTATCTAGTGACTACTGCATATAGAGCAACATAAGAAACCAAACTAATCTTTATTATTAGAAAACGCCATCCCTAGTATGACTAGGTCGATTCTCGAGTGAGTCGACCAGTTTATTCAGATGTGTTTAATTGAATCAATCTATATACAGAGAGAGAGAGAGGGAGAAAGCGGAACGGTTGTTGGACTTTCATTAGTTAGCAATGAACAAATTGAATTTCTGACATCTCTTTACTATTCTGCATCCGAAATGTCACTCATTTATTCTAGATTTTTTTTTCTCTTATAGATAGCTTGTTCGTCATAGCTGGATTTGTTTGTTTGATTGAATTTATGATTGAGATTTGTTTAGCAGTCATTACGTCAAATATATTTGCTCATGATTTTTTATAACATAGAAAAAAAAGAAGAAGAAACGGAAAGGAATGTTCATATTAATTTATTTTTGTCTATATTTATTCACAAGAGTCATGAATCATGTACACATGTATGGAAAGACTTCTTTTTTTTTAGTATTTTATTCTCATCGGAGAATGATTAAATTTTCTTTTTCTTAAAAAAATCATATTGAACGGATGTCACTAGTCAATAATAACGAGAAAAAAATGACAATAAATAAATATCTAGAGTAGAGAACAATGATGATTGAGCATTCTTGTCTACAATTATTTTCATCAATATATGGGGGGTTGTACACACACAAATAAGTAAACTATTGTTATCTATGTGTGTTTTTTCTGCATGTTTGCACGTCGACGCGAATGAAAATATAGAAGAAAGAAACGAAGAAGAATATGAAAATTCATTATTCAATGTGTTGTTTCATGACACATACGAGTGATGTGTCTCTCAAACACGTAAAAAATAAGCATGATGAAAAGAGTACAATCGTAGAATAAGAAACGAACCAAACAAGGGAACAAGAGAAAAAAAATGAGAGAAGCGAATCAACTATGCGGATTTGCATTCTTCTCGCACTAATAGTTCAATACAACGCTTATTATGAGCGAACCAAAAAAAAAAGGGAGAATAGTATTATCGACTCTCTAGATTTCTTTTTTTTTTCTTCGTTTCCTTACTCAATAATTGAACGCATACACATGCGTCCATCTCTCAAGCGACGTAAGTTATAACAGAGTAACAGTCATAGTAGATCTGTATTGTATAGAGAAGTGAAGTTAGAATAGAGAGAAAGAGAAGGGAGAAGACGAGAGACGTGATAGATAGAACGAAGGCTCTTATATTTTTTTTCTCGTCTATGTGTAGATCCAAATAGAAACAGAAGCCAAAAAGAAAGAGAAAAAAAAGTCGGGAATGATGAGTAATTACTATTGATCGTTTGTCGATACAGAACGATGGGTTGTACAAGTTCGCATCAAACAGGAACTACGAAAGACAATACAATTTCAGTTCCATCATCAATCACCGACGATGGTCACCAATTAATAACGGATCATTTTCGTAAATGGTTAAAAACAAATCGACCTAAAGCTGATGAATATGTATTAAATGATGTTCTATCAACAGCACAACCATCAAATGAAGCTGAAGATTATAAAACTATCGTTGGCAAAGCGCTTGATTTACTTGCTGAACGTCATGATATAAAATCAACAAACAAATTAGGTAAACTTGTACAAAAAGAAATTACATTAGCATCACCGAAAAAAGTTGCACATACAATAACTATATTAAAACAAACGGCAGATAAATTACGTAGTGGAAATATACAACTTGAAGCTGAACAACAACTAGCAACTGAGGAAGTAATAAATAAAATTCTCTTTTGTAATTCATTTAAATACATATATTATTTAGCATACAAATGGTACGTCTACACTTGAAACTAAAAATATTCAAGTATCATCGGGTGAACCAGGAATTGCTTTAAAAGAAGCGTTAGAAAAAGCACGTATTTTATTCTATAAGGTAAAAATATTGTTACAATAAGACAAAAAAACTTTCATAAAAAAAAATAGGGTAAACAAGCTGCTATATTTGCTAATCCATGTGGTGGTTATGACGTACGAATTTTGGATGAACATGATGAAACTATAAATCATGATGGAAATCTACTTCGTTCAATAATTGTAACTGAAGTTAAAATGCGTCCAAAAATATTAACAAGTTCATCTTTGTTCACACCGCCTCCTCCTCCTCCTCCTGCACCATTACCAGTATCTCGACCATCAAAATTACTTGATGAAAATGAAATTACTGATGATTTTCGTCGTTCGATCGATGATGCTCTCAAAGGACTTGAAGCTGTTTATCAAACACCAATAACAATGGCAACAATATCCGAAAATATTAAAGAGATACATGTTGATAAACCCAGTAAAACAGCATCATCACCACCACCACCTCTTGTCATACAATGTGGTGTAACTAATGTTCCTTTAAAAAAATCAACCTCAAAAGAACAAGCAACTGTATCAAGCGATCATCCACCTACTGTTGATCATACAGTTCATCTAGCTGAAATTTTTCGTCAAATGGCTGATCAACAAAAAGTTGCTAGTGAACAATTATCAAATGAAGAAATAGAACAAGATATAAATCAAATTGATATTCAACCAAAACTTGGCGAATCTAATGATGATATCAATGAATTAATGATGGATGCTATTGAAGAAACAACATGTAGTGAACTTGCAAATCCAATAGCACCAGTAGAACATGATTTAGAAGAAAAAGTCGATACAGTTAAATCACCTGATGAATCCGAAGCATCAATTGAACGTATGGTTAAAGAAATGAAAGAACATGGAGAAAAATTTGAATCAAAAGAAAGTCTTCAAACAATAACTACAACAACAAAACAAGCATCATCTTATTCACTTGGTTTAACATCACCAATACAAAATGAACCAGTACCAACATCACCACCTCATCAAAAACCTAAATTACGTAGTGAAAATCGCCCAAAATCATTTATTGCTAATGAAGAAACGATTTCTAAAGATCGTTATAATTTTAGTAAACAAATGTCATTGGATGAATTAGCACATTTAACACAAATAGGTTTATCAAATCCAAATTTAACAACATCAATAACAAAACTAGGTATATCAACATCATCGGGAAAAATTGAAGAAGAAGATCATAGGCATATTGCAACAACAGATTCATTATCAAAAATACCAGCATCTATTAGTCAAATTATTGAAGAACATCATGCAATTCTTGATGAAACATCAACAACAACATCACCACCACCAGCACCGCTTGTAACACCTATTGTAACACCTGTTGAGACTCAAACGAAAATAAAATCACCTACTCATAATATAACTTATACAGAAATAATTCATTCCGAATCACGAGATGGAGAACAATCACGTCGTTTTATAACTGAATCCTATGATGAACATCCATCAAATGATGATGAACAAACAACAACACTTAAAGTTATTACAAAATCAGAATTTTCAAATCATCCAACATTAGGTGAAAAAATTATGGAACAAAGTGTTCAAGTTATAACTGTTAAAGTACGAAATGAAACAATAAAAACAACTGTACAACAAGCATCTTTACCATCGACAACTGATAATACTATGACATATGAAAGACGACCGGTTAGTGAACTTGTCAAAAATTTTGAAGTAGTTGCAGGTGGTAACAATAGCAATGGTCTTAATACTTGAATTTATTCATAGTTTTGCTCTTCAAACAAATTTTCTTTTTGCTTTTTGTTTATGCGTTTATGTCTTGTGCAAACCCCTTCTAGATAAAAATTATCTTGCTCTAACATTTAAACAGTACAAACATTTGTTTTTATATATATATATATAAATATATTATCTATCGATTTCGTCTGTGAGCTTATGTGTATGTCTGTTGCTTATTTCTTCTCTCTTTCTTTTTGTACACTGACCTATATGCTTAGGTCAATAGTATATATCTTGAAAAAAAAATACAAATGAAAGAAGAGGAAAATAAATATAAAGATAAATGAATATGTTTATTAAGAAATAGCTTTGTTGATAGATTCAATAAAAAATTTGTAGAAGTGTTGAGAATATTATCATCAATCATTCAATCAGCACATCTTGCATCGATTTGTTCAATCATATTGCATGACAACGATTACAAACAGAATATCAATACGATAGAGATATCATACTGTTGATTAAACAAATACTATGCAGAATGTATTTGTTTCAACATATATATTTTTTTCTTTTTCCCATACAAGCAAATCAAAAGATTAAATCAATGCTGTTGAATTGTAATATTAATCTAGTATATACTTCAGAGAAATCAAGTTTTGTTCTTTTTACTAATGATTAAAGAAGCGTGTTGTATGAAAAAATTTTAATTTATCATTATGATTTGTTTTGATTAATCGGTCGTGTGTTATTAATGATGAATCATTTGTAGTACTATTATTTGATGATGTTGTTTGACATTGACTTGTTCGACGCATACTTGCATAAAATTTTCGAGCTGTTTCACAATTTCGTTTAAGATTTGATCCTTGACTTGATTGAGAAATCTTTCGATTTGTAGATGTCTAGAATAAATAAACAAATAGATATAGAGATTTATTTGACAAATTAGAATCTACTTTAATTTGATCAGATTCATCAGGTATTGAAAAAATATCATTTTCAACATTATCATCACTATTATTTGTTTCTTGTATAGCTTGTTCTCTATCAAAACTAGTCATTTGAATATTTCGAACTAATGTATATAATTTTGGTGACTGATGAGGAGCAGGATTATATACTGGTGCCCAATTATATGCAGTACTCATTGATGAATGTTTAGATGTTTTTACACGATGTTCTAAAAACAAGAGAAAAAAAGACTATTTCCTTTATGTTAATTTTCTTTTACCATTATTATGTTCACTTCCACAACACAAAACTTTAAATACATGACGTATTTGTGAACCACATTTTCTTCGCATAAAACATAATATACCAAGAATAATCATTACAGAAAATAACATTAATATACCTAACCATAATGGATGAAGAGGTTCGTCAATTTGCACCATGATCGACAAGAGAAACTTTTTTGTAAAAATTAACTAGTGGATGTAAGATGGTATTCAAGTCTAGTTTATTATTATAACAAAAAAAATTTTTTTTCTTTTTCCTTCTTTTTTTCTTTCTTTTAATCTTTTCTTCTCTATGAGTGATAATCCACCGATCCTTGCTATTGGCACTTTTTTTTACTGAAAGTATCTCGATGTACTCCTGAAGTGATCAGTAAGTATTAGATTATGACATGATTAGTGAGCAGAAATGAACGAGAAGATTTTTAATCCGTTATTTAATTTTATCACGAAATATATGATTTACAAGTATTTCTTTAAAATCTTTCAGTATAGAAATAATATTAGATTTAATATGTTTTTTTTCTTCTTCTTTTCATATGTAAATATTATCTTTAGGACGAGAGATTCATACAACTAATTCAATCAATTATTTTAATCATGAATAAGATTTGATTTATTTATATTTCAAGTAAGTATATACAAATATTCTTTCGGAAAGTATATATCTATAACAACAGGAAACTTATTTCATCTACATGTAACAAACATGCAAGATTGTAAATTTACATGATCTGTTATTCATATAAAGAATAATCACTAGTACACGCAAAACTAGAATATAATGACTGTTTCAACAATTATTTAGATAGTATATAACCGAGTAAAAGGATATTGCGTGCAGATATATTCACATAAATAATCGGTATGTGGACTTATTATTTTAAATATGTTAATTTGTATACACAGTATTGAACATGCATTCGTGCGAACTAAGTTTTTATCGTTTAAAAAAGTTTATAAATTTCAAATAAACACTCTCAGCATAGTTATTTGTTTTGTTTTTCATTACATACTTCAAATAAATGACATATGTTCAAAATTGTCATTGTACAGAATGTCAAAAAAAAAGAAAAGAAAAACGAATAAAAATGATCGTGACAGATGAGAAAACAAACAGACAAGTGCAAGAATGAGAAGAAACAACAACCATATCGATTGACGAATAGACATACATACACACACACATACAGAAAATTGAACAAAAAAAATATCTCGAGATCCTTGTTAGATTTATCTTGTTGGATAGAGATTAGAAAAAGATATACATACATGCAAAAGGGGACTGTTCAAACACCTATAGATACAGAGATAATTCATATTCGCTAGGCGATTGATGAAAGAAAACGAACAAGTGTTTTAAATTATTCTCATGCGATAGAAAGAAAAAGAGTATGGAAAATACTTTTGTTTGTCGTTATTGCAAAAGAGAATTATATATGAGTATACATATGTTCTCTAAACCTTTTTTTGTCAAAGTATACAAATACGAATAATAGAAGTATTAAGAATGACATATAATAAAGATAAGAATAAATTCTCTTAAAGAAACGATAAAAAACAACGTATATGTCTATGTGCAAAAAAAAAGAAAATCAAATTAATATTGTTCCTACAATAAAAAAAATTTATTTTATTAATCCATAGATGGACCACCACCACCAGCCCGAATAGTCGGAATTGGTGTTGAAGTATTTGTCGATGGATTAACTCCAGCACGAATCGGTTTAACTAAAAAAAAATATAGAAAGTATTTTTATTATTTTTCAATATAGAAGAATTTATTACCAATTTGTGCAGCATTTGTACGACGAGCGAGATTACGTTGTCGAACAGCTTCTTTAATTCGATCAACTTCACATTGATATCGTTTTCGATCTTTCATTGCACTTTCTTTTGCTTCTTTCAATGCTTGTTCAAGTGATTTAACACGATCCATTGTTGCTTTAAGACGTTTTTCTAATTTAGGTAATTCACAGCGAAGATCAGCATTTTCACGTACAAGCTAAAGACATGAATAAGAATATGTATTCAGCAAAAAATTTTCTTTACTTGTTTATGAACTTTAGTTAATTGATCGAGATTATTTTCTAGAAATGAAATCTTCTGTTTTTGAGCTACACTACCACCTAAATCATCTTCTTCGACTTCCGGTTGTTTTTGTGACTAAATGATATCAAAATAAAATATAATTTGTTTTTGTATTCAAAATCTAACCTTTTTAAGTCGTGTTTGTAAATCTTGAACAAATAATTTTCGTAAATTATGTAATGTTTGTAATTCTTTAGCAACAGTTTCTTCAAGACCTTTTAAATCTTGTTTTGCTTGTTCACGACGTTCTTGTTGTAAACTAAAAGAATACAAAAAATAATAATTTTGTATTGATAATATCAATGAAATCATACGTCATTTCTTGTAATCGACTTGATTTATCCGTTTCTTCTTTCTTTAATTTTTCATAATCACCAGATAATTTATCATAGGATAATTGTAATTTTTGTAATGAATCTTTTAATGTTTCCATTTGAGTTTCTTTTGTACGAATTTCATCACGTAAATTTGTTAATTGTTTTTGATGTTGTTCACTGACTTGTTCCATTTGTTGACTTAATTCTTTTTGAACATCAGATGTTGTACCAGTTACTTGCCCTTTAAGAAAAACATATATATATGCAAATAAAGATTATTCCAAATATATATACCTTGAGCTCGAATTTTAACTAATTCTTCATTCAATGAATCTTGAGTTTGTTCCATAGTACGTTTTTTCTCTTCTAACTCTTTGATTGATTCAAGCATTGAACGCATTTTTGCTTCATGTTGTTGTATTAATAGACGTGCTTCATCAAGTTCTTTATCTTTTAATCCGATACCTTTTTGATGATCAACTTTTTCTAATTCAAGTTCACTTAAACGCTAAAAAACAAAATGATTCTTAGTTATTCATAGAATTTCAATAATTAAAATAGCACATACTCCACTAATACTTCGTGCTTCTGTTTTTAATTTACTCATATAAAGACGTGCCAATGTAAATTCTTCTTCAGCTTGATCAAGATTTTCAATTGTTGGTTTCTAAAATTCAAAAAAATAAATTCATTTTTTTATTTATCATAGATATATATACCTTTTGTTCACTCATTTGTCCACCCATAATACCACCAATTTCACCAACATCACGTAAAAGTACTAATATCATATCAAGAAAACGTTTACGATGTGTTTGTGATGCTTCACGAAGACTTTCTAATTCTTCACGAATACCATTTAATGAAGTCTAATTAATTAAATAAAAAATTTAAAAATTAAATTTCGAATAAATATAAACAAACCAATTTTGTATCGAGTTCTTGTACAAGTGTTTCATTTTCTTTACTTTTTGTTTCGACCTCTTGTGTTTTTTGATCATAATTAACTGCAAGTTCTTCAAGAGCTTGCAATACTTCTTTAACTTCTTCTTTTGCTGATTCACTTTCTTGTTGAAGACGATTTAATTCGGCTTGAAGATTTTCATTATCTTTTCGAGCTTGACTAAATATATCATCTTGTTCAACTGTTTGAGATTTAAGTCTTTCAAGAGTTTGTGCTAAATTATTTATTTCATCATCCTGAGAAGAAAATAAAAATAATTCATTAGAAAATAAAAAATAAAATATTTTTCGTCTACTTTTTCATCTAATTGTTGATAAAGTGTACTTCGTTCTTTTTCCCATTCATCAACATTAACAGAAGAACGAAGATCAAGACCACCTAATGGATTGCCAGCTGCAACAGTACTAACAACAGATGTTGTTGGACTAAGAACTGTTGAAGCAACAGTCGATAAAGACATTGTTGACTGAGTTGTTGAAAGTGTATCATCACTTTCAAGTAAATTAATTTGTTCATCTTTAGTTACTGTTTCACCTGAAGAAAAATTTTTAAATAAAAAAAAGAATTTTTTCAAAATAAATAATTAACCTTGTCTCCATCGTTCAAGTTCCATTTCTGCTCGGCTTAATTGACCTTTTAATCGAGCTACTTTTTCACGTTCTTTTTCCCAACGACGTTTCCATTCTTCAGCTGTTAATTCTTCATTAACAGTAACTTGATTTTTAATACATTTCGCTCTAAAATATTAAACAGAAAAAAAATAAAATTAGACATTTTAATCATTTTATTTTCTAACCTTTTGCCAAATTCAAGTGTCGATTTTGTTTCTGACTCATTGTAACTAGCTGGTGAACAACATATAATAATAGTTGTACGAGCATTTCCTCCAAGAGATTCTTGTAAAATACGTGTTAATTTCGAATCACGATAAGGTACATGAGATTTCTATATAATAAAATAAAAGAAAATTCAAAAGAAAAACAGTAATTGTAACTAACAGTTCCATCAGCTAATGCTGAAATAACATTTCCTAATGCAGATAAAGATTTATTGATATTTTTCGCTTCATCAAGTACTTGGCCTTCGGCACCAGTTTTTGAAACCTTGAAAATGAATTCCAAAAGATTAAATATATCAATAAAAAAACAAAACTTACTTTTTCACTTCCAGCTAAATCAACAAGATAAAGTTTTCCAGTTAATTTTTTTTCATTTTCAACATTTTCTTGTTTAACATGTATAAGAAAAACTGAATGTGAACGTGAACTATGTTCATTCATATTTGTTACAGCTATATGTCGATTATTTTTTCCTTCATCCATTATTTCGAAGACTTCATCAGGTGATGAAACGAATCGTTCAGTAACACCCTTCACAAAAAGAAAATAAGTTTACATTCAAATATAGATATTTTTAATCATACTTTAACATATGGTACACGATTTTTATCTTCATGTACAGCTAAATTTGTTTTTGATACGTCAAGAAGATCACGAATTTTATCAAGATATATTTCAAAATAAGAAATTTTTATTTGAAATTGGAGATTTGCATCCAATGTATATATATGATTAAATATATCTTGAACAATTCGTGGAATAATACCTTGTTGACCATCACTACCCATTACACCCTATTAAGAAAATTTTATTTTAAAGATAATAAATATATCAGCTTTTCTTTCTTTACCTCCATTGTATGAGTTTTTCCACTTGATGTTTGACCATAAGCAAATATAGTTCCATTATAACCACTAAGAACATCTTTAACAATTTCTTTAGCTGCTTCATTATAAACTTTTTCTTGTGTAGCAGCAGGAGGAAATACCTTATCGAATATATATACTTTACCCTAAAAAAAACATAATATGATTTGAGAAAAGATTTAAATCAATAACATACAGTAATAAGAACAGTTTCGTCTTGATCTGTAGGAAATTTAACAACACTTTTACTGCCAGCTCGTTCTTCAGATTCGTTTAATGGACGAAAACGAGCAACAACTCGAATATTACATTCATCGGCTGCCATTAAACGTATGAATCGTAGATGATCTTGAAGAACAAATTAAATCTCTAAGAAAAGAAAAAACGGAACAAATAAACTATAAAATATGGCGACTCAAATAGTAATGGAACAATCAACATCAGTAACAATCATTATTATTTCTAAAGTATTTTTTTTTCTTTCTTTTTGATTGAATGACTCATCCAATCAGCCATCACTGAAGTAGATTAGCTTTTCTTTGAGGTGGTTTGTTTGCTTCCATACAATAACTTACGACATCTATCAAATGTTATTCGTATATTCTCTTTGTACAATACTACATAGATACTTTTAATTTGTTCAATTTTTTATGTCTTGAATATTTAAATAAGAGTTTTTCAAGGTCATCTTCAATTTTTATTCGAATTGGTTTTGACTTCAAGATGAAGAAGAAGTATAATCTTATAGTTTGAAAGGAAAGAATGAAATTCCATCATAATAAATCCACTCACATATACATATATTTGTTGATTAACATAACTAATATTTGCTTCGGGACGACATTATTTAATGTATATTTACTTGTTTTGCATTTAAATTAGATCAAATACTTCACGTCAAATTTTTTTCTAACCATTCAATGTACATATGACTGTTAGTAAAAGAGAAAATATTCTTATAATACATTATATTTTATTAATTCGATTTTTGTACATGCTATGAATCAAATCTAAGTTTAGTTACTTTTGTAGTTGAAGGAGAGGAATTTAGTCTCGATTATATATTTCGTATTAAATGATAAATGTTGCATGAGTGTAGAAATTCATTCTTTTAATAGAAATGAATATAAAGTGGTCTAACTAAATTAGAATCTTCCGAATTGTAATCAGTAGCTTGTTTGAATAAATATGGAGTGGTGCTCCTTCAATATAACTAAGGCAGATGTTCAAATTGTTTCATTCTGTATGCATATATCTTTTCCAAGACAACATATCTGCAAAAGAAGTAAATGTAATTATTTATTAGAGACACGCTGAAGAGATTTAGTTCAACACTAAGTAATACTTCATTTGAATACTATCAGAAGCTACTGCAAGACTAAATAGAGATAACTGATAGCCAACATCAAATTTATCTCGTGGATGTACTCTTCTCATTGAACAAAATAAAAATGAATATTTTGCCCTTCTTCATCATCACGAAGATCTAAAGCAATTGCCATGAACAATATTATATTATTTCGGAAAATATACAAATATATTTATCACGATTATAACCAGCATTATTTTCACCTACAATACATCACGTTATGTTTCTTTTGATGTTTTTGATCACATTTATCTGGATATCAAACAGTTCCTTTGATTACTATACTTGTAAGTGGATGAATCATTGCATTATATAAAATAGTGTTATTCAATGTTACGTCAACTTCGTTATGTGATACACGATTAGCTCTATGTAATACTTGTATATCGTTTCTTATGGTCATTTTTCATAAATGAATATTACTGTGTAATATTAGAATCTGTGAGAGATTCTGGTTGTGATGCTACGGACTATTTAAATCCAATAGACATCAAGTCATCTTGTGGTGTATACGATCGTACTTGTGAAACAGTAAATAATCTCGCTTTTGAATATTTACTAGCATTTTCTATTTCAACTGATGCATTGAACATATTTTCAATAGGAAAATCCATATTTGGTTAACCTGAGCAAACCCAAACGTCACCAAAAAGTACATCATTCAATGTTATAGTTTCAAGTGTTCCATTAGCTAATGGTTCTGTAACTTGAATTTAAAAAAGGACCTTCTTCGGTTTCAGCATTCAGAGTGACAGATCATATTGTTGCACCGATCATATCAACAGATGATGATGATATCATTGTATGATAGACTTTATTGTTCATTTTTAGAATAATATCTGTATTAAAAGTGTCTCCATAACCTCATACAATAGCTCATTGTGGTACACGCTGAAGAACCATATGATTTTGATAGTAATTGGCAAATCGTAGAACGCCATGTACTGAAACAATATAGCTTTTACGTTCAGAAAGCTTTTCTTCCTATCAATATTTTTCATACCAGTAACTGAACACACAGTCAACAAAAGAAGACATACACAAAAAGAACCTAATAACATTAAAGCGCGTCGGATAGGTGTAGAAAAGGTAATAAAAATCAGTATGAAACTCACTATACAAGTGAATATGAATATTAGTATTCAGCTTTCAACATTCAACTGAATTATGTCTTAATCAAATTAAAAAAAAGAGGCAAAATTTAATCTAATATAATTTTCACATGAATTATTTCGATCAAGTTTTATTAATAATATTTTGTTTGTATTGAAATAAAATACTTCTTTAAATATAATAAATGTTTATTATGAATTTGAAATAAATGTTATTAATGATAATTCCAACTCAATTAATGTCATGTCTAAAAATATTTATAATTATGAAAATCAAAATAAAATACTCAGTTGATTTTTTAATTCTAATATATATATATATTCATTAATCAAGTAAATAAAAAGTATAGTTTTAAATGATAAATAAAACTATTAAAATATTAATCATTAGATTTCATATTTTATCAAGATTTTTTATTTGATAAATATTAAGAAACTTTAATAATAAAAAATACAAAAGACAAATTAGTTTATGTTTTTATGAGAAAAAAAATGAGGAAGTTTCTTTTATATAATTTCTATTGTATAATAACAGAATGATAAATGTTATTTATAATATTTTAGTTAATCAAATTTTTTATATTCTATTTTATAGTATCTAATTGTATAAAAAAATAATACTTCCTATCATATAATTAAATCTTTTTTTTATCTTTGATTAATCACATGTATATTTTGTTTACTTAACTCATACTGAAATAAAATAAGAGAAAATATAAATTATTTCTATTAGAAATAATTTATTAACTAATTCTAATATTTGCATTTTTATAGAAATTTACCTTGAAAAATAAACTAAATTTAGAAAATGTAAGAATAATAATCAAGAGCTAGTTTTGTATTAATCAATTTTATGAGATTAAAATGATTTCTTTTTGTTATTCAAAAGTTTTTGTGTCTGCTAATTGTTGATTTTCTCTATGAAGATTACTTTTCTAAATTTATTCTATTATCAAATTATTCTATGAACTTTTACACATAGATAAGTTTACTTTAAAACTAAAAGTGAACAATAGAAGACTTCATATAAATAATGTATTATTTTAATAAAAATTGTATTTTATTAGAAATATTAGATATACATATCTGTTTATAAATGAAAATGTATTTTGGATCTCAAATGATATAAAATACAAAATAAGTGTTAATAATAGTAATAAGATATTCACTATATTAAAATATATAGGTATATATTTTATAATCGTAATTAGATGATTAGATATACTTTCCTTATATGATTTTATACAATTTCTAACATGAAAAATATACTTTAACTTTGATATTTTTAAACTAAAAATATAAAAAGTATTGTTTATGCAGTCATCGACGAAGAAATAAGAAGCGTGAAAATATGATAAACGAAATAATAAATCATCCAAACTGTCATAATATTAAAACAAGTAACAACATGTCAAATAAAATAAACGATG